AGGAAAGGAAAAGGAGAGAGAGAAGAAACTTCAATGATGAGAGAAAATCATTGATTGACTGCCTGCTGCACTCCCCATACTGGGGATTGAGCCCAAAACCCAGGCATGTGGCCTCACCAGGAATTGAACTATGACCTCCTGGTTCATAGGTTGATGCTTAACCACTGAGCCACACAAGCCAGACCAAATAACCCCCTTTAAAAAAAAAATTCTCTCTGCTGCTCATTCCTCCACATCTAGTACTGTTTTCCTACTCCTCTGAACTTAAAACCCCCTGTGTATGTTCTGATTTTACTGGAAATACTTTGTATGTCCAATTCCTTCTTTACTTTGCTTAGTTTTGCCTAAAACCACCAATTACTTTCTCATGATTCTATGGGTCGGCAATTTGGGCTGGACTCAGCTAAGCAGTTTTTCTGTTACGTCATCTGGCTTGCTCATGCTTCTGTAGTCACAACTAGGTCTGCTAGAGGCTGTTTTGTCCTAGATGTCTTCAGTCACATGTTTAGAATAACAGGCATGAATGGCCCACATGTCTGGAGTGTGTGGAAAGATAGACTAGCATCCAAAATCAGCAAAAAAGAACAAGCCCAAATATTTCAGTGATTTTTTTTCTTTTCTCTTTGTGTGTGTGTGAGAGGGGGGAGGCTTAATAAGGAGCATTTTATTCAATGCTGAAAAGTTCTAAAGTTCTAACCATCACCAGTTTCCCAAACTGCCTCTTTCTTCTTTTTCATTTAATTCATTGGGGTGACATCCTATATAATAAAACCCAAATATGCAAATTGACCGAACGACAAAATGACCAGAGGAATGCCTGGTCACTATGATGTGCACTGACCACCAGGGGGCAGACACTCAATGCCGGGGCTGCCCCCTGGTAGTCAGTTCACTCCCACAGGGGGTGCACTGCTCAGCCAGAAACTGAACTCATGGCTGGCAAGCACAGCAGGGGTGGCAGGAGCCTCTCCCGCCTCTGCGGCAGTGCTAAGGAGCAGCGAGCAGGTGGGCGGTAAGGAGCAAGGGGTCTTGGACTGTGAGAGGGAGCAGTCCAGGCTGAGGAACCCCCCCAGTGCATGAATTTGGGGCATCAAGCCTCTAGTTGGTTAATAAAAATCATATAGGTTTCATGTGAACAATTATATAATACTATTGTGGATTGTGTGTTCACTTCATTTTTGTCTAACTGGACTTCTGTTCCATCATGGAATTGTCATAAATGATCCTTGTATTGCTGAGCACAATGAACAATTCTCTTTTTTAAAAATTAAGTAAATTATTTTAAAATTTAAAACTGTGACCTCCTGGTTCATTGGTCAATGTTTTCAACTACTGAGCCATGCCAGATGAACTCCAAGAAATTATTTTTAAAAATCTATTAGAATTAATGAAAAAGTTGAGTAAAGATGTAG